CCATATCTCTGAGTTTTGAGTGGGCGCATGTCGCCAGTATGCTGCGTTGCTGTTTACATGCATGAAAAGTGTGTTTGAAAACGAGTCTGAATGCACGTCTCGATTATCCCTCAACGGGGGGTTGGAATACAGTTATCAACCAGCAATAGACGCGTCTCGATTAGCCCTCACGGACTCCATCATTGCCCCATACTTCTTTGTTCTTTTCCACCAAAGCCCAATTTTATTAGTTGCTGAAAACCAGCTCCAGTGAAAAGCAACCAGACTGCCACCCCCCAGAATAGATGGGGCATTGTGGGTTGAAAAAAAAAAAAAAAAAAAAAAAACAGCTCAAGTGTCCCTTACATGGCTTTTACTCGTTCTATGCTTCTCTCCATTATGGCTGAGAAGTTGAGAACCAAGTCCAGTGTTCCTTATAGATGGTTTTCTCTTTTCCAGGAAAGTCGGTGGCATTGACTGCTTCCACGAAGAGAGGTTTTACCTCTGTCCCTCTACCACTTCCTTACAAAGGGCACACTCAGGCAACTACTTTTTCAAAATTTCAACTGGATCTGGCCATAATTACCATCCTATACCACCAGGGAAATCGTCATGTCAGTATCCCCTCTCAGATAGTGTCACCATAATAAGTTAATGACCAATTAAATTGAATTGATATTATCAGTAAGATTACGTCCACCAACACCACCGCACTAAATCCTGCTAGAAGTTTCAAACAAACCACTTTGTCCTCAATGGGTGAATGTAATGGGGCTGTTGCCGAACACAGATGCAAGCTCACAAAAACACACAATCACGCAAACGAAGAGAAGAAATAGGACATACCACAGAGGCGCAGAGATCGCTGGCTTCAAAACGTGCGATTATGATTTCAAGGTTCTCTCGGAAAATCTTGTTCATCCGCTGCGCAAGTAGGGCAACCAGGTCCATTTGCCGTCCCAGAATCTGACACGCAATCACATTCGACGTTCTCAGACATCAGTAATCATTAAAAAGACGAGCGCACTCAGCAAGAAATGACTAAATTGCCGACTTTCTTTTGGCATGCAGTCGTCAAATTGAAGACCTCCTTTCACAATGCTAGGGTATAAACAGTGCTACACATGTGACAGGGATACCCACTGCTTAGAAAGGGGTGTACGCCATACTTGTAATACTACCATGACTACAGTCTTCACCCGAACGGAATGCCCGGTAATTATCGCCGTATCTGGACTGAAAGTTGGACCAAGTACACCTATAATGACCGGGCATTCCATTCGGGTGAAGACGGTAAGGACTCTTTTAGAATAGGTAGGCAGCACAGCACTACCTGCTGCTTAGGAAGGGGGATGCTTGCATACTACAACGCCGAGGACTCTGAGGAGCTATCCACATGCTGACCTGATGGCCAGATTAGGTAGGCAACACTGCAATTTGAACAACCTCAAAATCAGTTTAACAAGACAGCTGTCCGACTTCACTGCAGTAAAAACATATCATCGAATGCTTGAACCATCAATAAGCGGTACCACGAAGCAAACGATTTACAATACTTTGCATAACGGATTTATCAAAGGTTTCTCCCATAAATGCAAGCGCACACCGTGGAAAATTCAGCACATTTGGCGCACAAGCGGACCCGCACGTTGCGCGACGCACGGCATGTGAGGCGCATGGGGGAAATATTCACTCAGAAAAAAAGGGGTCGCATGCCTGGGTCAGTGGTCACTGCGTCCCCTTTGAAGATTTGTTGTGGGATAGGGAAAAAAAATAAATGGTGGGAGAGCAATGCCGCTACCTGCCCCAGATACCTATTTGAGGCCATTTCTCGTGCCCGATTGGTCGGACAGAAAAATCTGTATGACTGTGTAGTCTGCAGACTCTGTACTCGAAAAAGATATGTTCCTTAGGAGGTGCATTCTGCCGCACGCCATGCGGCACACCGCACGGTACGACACACAGTGCGGTAGCAAGTATGGTCTCTCCATATGTACACTGACGTGGAGGCCGTTGCGACATTGTGTCTCGCTCGTTAGTGCCCTATGTAGCTTTCGACCATAGAGACAGTTGAGGGGAAGAGAGAGCAAGAGCAACTGAAAGGCTGATATCTCAAAAGACTGCAGAACTTTCAAGTTTCAAAGGGAAAAAAAACAAAATGGAGAGAGGAACATAGTAATACCTCCACGTGGTGCTGGTTGAATATGGAATCAAATCGGCAGACAAGCACTGGGACCAACTGATCGCGATACTCCGAGTTTTCGAGAAAGCTCTTATCCAGTAGAAGGCTGCACAGTACAAACACTAGAAACATGTCCACTCAGACTTCCCATCAGGGCTGGCTGTTCAAACTCACTAGCTGCCGCACAAATGCCTTACACTCTCATTGCAGGTCAACGGAGGTATGAAATGTGAAAAGCCAGGTTTCAGCGACTTCTTAAGCAAACAAAGTTGCAGGAATGAAAAGAGAAAAAAAATTGAACGAGGCATGCTCCTCAAAGGTGTGCTTACACATCCATTGCACGCAAACGGAGGTACGACATGTCGAAAGCCAGGTGCAAGGAAAATGCGCGATAGCAAAATGACAGAATTCCAGATCGCAAATCACATCGAAAGCCAGAGAGTCGAACGCTGTCCAGAAAGCAGAATTGCACTGATATTACACCGAAGGAGAACCAAAGCATCAAACTCAATTGTCAATGAAAGCATATACACGCCACCACCAATATTGCAATTGTTGCTCTTCCTCCTACTGACGCTCAGCGCCCAGACTACTATCCTACAGCTACTCTACTAGCAACAAAACGACAAGCAACTTGTTGACGTCAGCAGCAGCAACCGAAGTACATGTAGATGTCGACCATGCACACCATCGCCAAGACCAGGTCCGTGCCCTCACGTCATCATCCTCATCTCTCTCACCGCTGACCCTCGTCTTCTTCACCCACGTCTTCTTCCTCTACCACGAAGGCCACGGCCTGGCTATGGAGGGCTGAGCTATGGCGCTGCCACAGTGCAGCACCCTCCTTCCACACTACCACGCGCGTGTGCACAAGCACTTCCACTATCGCACAGCAAGCAGACCGTGAGCGCACGCTCCAGCAGCACGGCCACTCGCACGAGCAAGTGCCCGAATGCCTAGTCGGTAGCACTACTTGCTGCCTGCCTCATGGGACCGAGTTTCCAGTACCTTCACACGCAGCCAAATTGTCTCAGCCCAGGCCCGTTCACACAGTGGCCTGGGACCGAATTGGTTAGGCATGCCCAACCACCCAGGCACAAACGTGTGGTGTTCCCTGCTTCCCCCACATTGCTGGAAGTGCCTGGAATTCTCACAAATATTTCTGATTCTCATGAGGAAAGTGGATGTAACCAACTGGCGTGTGGCAACTGTCTGGCACCCACCAAGATTTGCAAAAATTGACGAATTCAGGGCTCATTGGGATTCAGGGGCCCGCCTTCACTTAGGGCGGGGACGCGTTTGCTGCGGGGGCCTTATGCAGGTATGCCGAGGGGTGAAATCCTCGCACAGGTTTCACCGACTTCTTAAACAAACAGAAGTGACAGAAATGGGGGGGGGATACAGACGAATGAGGCATGCAGCATAGTAGTCAGGCCGACGGTCAGTGCCCCTGGATTGGTCGGGGGCAGACCAGCCGACCGTCGGGCTGGTCGGCACCTACCGGTCGGGGCTCGGCCAGCACCTACAGGTCAGGGTTCGGTGTGCTAGCCTGCAGCTTCTCTTTCTCAGGGTATGCACCCCCCTTCCCCCCCCACCCCAACACCACCAACTTCTCAAACAAACAGAAGTGACAGGAATGGGAAGAAAAAACAAAAAGAATGAGGCATGCACTTCAAACGTGTGCTAGCCTGCAGCTTCTCTTCCTCAGGGTATGCCCCCTCCCCCCTTCTCACCTCCAAGAACCCAGTGAACTTGCACTCTGCAGTGCCATAGGATCCTCCTTTTCATCGCCATAAGGACCAGAAGGCCCTCAAACACCTCTAGCTTCTTCAACAACCAAGCTTCCTTTTCCCCCCTAATCACCCCACATGCCATGCTCAAGGCATGCCCGCAGCAGGATTGAGGATCATGAACAACTGCACATCTGTCATGCAGGTAGCACCCTTAAGATTAGGGGCATATGGAAAGGGTCCAGTGGTGGAAGAACTTCGAGAGGACGCGGAATTTTTCAGAACCATATATGAAGGAAAACAAGGGCCTTGTTGAACAAAGGCTTTGACATTGGGAGGATGGGTGGAGAAGTCGGTGTGGCAAATACAACATTCATGCGATGGGAAGGAGAGTGCACTGAATGAAAACAATGACCTTGTTTAATAACCCAGTTTTAAAATGAAAGACAACGGGTGAACTGTATGAGACATTATAAGGAAGCTAACAGTGAGCCTTTCATGAGAGCCCTTCAACTGTGCTGAGTCTTAGAAGGAGAGGTACATGTGGGAACATGTGCATGCGATGGGGAGGAGAGTGCAAGGGAAACCATAGTTCAGTCACGCATGCAAACAACCGCTACTTGATGCTGAGTCGAAGGCCATACTTGAAAGCTAATACAGATGGTTTACATCCGGATAATGTACCACTCAGTCACTGATAAACAGGGAACAAGGTGGCTATGGAAGGCACTGACACATACCTAGCTGCTCTGGCCTTGAACTGGGCGAAGATAAGTTCACTGAGCTTGAACACCAGCTGATCGAAGCACAAATCGGCCTTCACAAACAAAGAGTGACACATGCAAAAACACCCCAAGTTAGAAACATCCACAGGTGTTATATCTTGAAAGTTGAAACGGCTTTGTATCGCCTGAGGTTAATTCACCCTGAAAGCCACCATGATGTGGGCAGACAGATGGAGCCTGAAAGAAAACATTGAGACCCTGCTTCCCCGTCCATCAAAAGAAACTCTCAGGCTGCTGTGAGGCAAAATTTGCAATCAGGACTCATGCATAGGATATTGTGATCGATATAAAGATGCTCTACCCCACCTGAATCTACACGTGGATTCACCCCGGAAACCTAGCACAGCTTACCCAGGTTTTGCATACTGAAGTCTGCATTGTAGTCAGAGTTTGTCTCACTCACTCGGTCACTCAACTCACTCCACTCAGCTCACTCACCTCGCTCACCTCACTCACTTCACTCACTTAACCCACTCGCTCACTTCTCTCAACTCACCCACTCACTCACTCACTCCAATCAACTCACTCGCTCGCTCACTCACTCACTCACTCAACTTCCTCCCTCCCTCCCTCCCTCACCCACACACTCACTCACTAACTCACCCACTCAACTCCCTCCCTCCCTCTCACTCACCACTTCCTCCCTCCCCCCCTCACTCACTCACTCGCTCACTTACTCACTCATACCCTGCACCCCTTCCGCCCTCCCTCACTCGCTCCCGCACCCACACACACACACACACACACACACACACACACACACACACACACACACACACACATTCTACCTCACACACACCCTCACACAAACACAGTCATGCACACATACAGACACACGGACACACACTCATGCACACATACACACATGCACACATGCACACACATACCTCTGCTTCAATCTCATCGTAAAGGAACCGCTGTTTGAGAACATGGAGGGCACACTCAGCAGCATCATTGTAGATGTCAAATGGCATGAGCACGCTGTCTATGTGGCCAACCTCATTTCCCTCCAAGATGTAGTCGATGAGAATCCAAGGCAAGGAGGCCTCAATGGGAAACTGCAAGATTGTCATGCAATAAATTGAGATCAGGTAGTTAGGTCATCTGCAGCAATATACCAACCTGAAAAATGCCACAGGAAAAGACACAGCGACGAAAAAAAAATGGAAAGAAGCTATGGGCAACGATAAACCTACCCTCTCACACAAGCCTCACTCATGTCCCCCCAGGCAAACAACTAAAACTCGGGCTCAGAAGCGTCCAAAACAATAGTGCATAACTCATACTTGCAAGTGGACGCTGTGGATGAGACCACATGTGTGGGAAGTGGACCACACACGTACGTGTGCGGCGCACTGCCTGAGCGCACACGGGCCATTTTGGAGGCGGGGGGTGGTTGAAAGATTCACGGATGGAACAAAGCAAAAGGATTTAAAAAAACACTTGGGGCCCCCAGGAAAAATGCTAAGGGCCCCCCAAAAAAAGTTCCCAGGCTGTGCTTGGTTGCACTTTCTATTTTCAAAATGCAGAGTCGCTTGGTTTTGTTCGTGTGCGCCAGGCCAGACGAGCCAGTTAGGCCTACTGACCAAGGACTTTCTGGTGCCTCTTCTGAGTCTGGTAGACTTTTGACCTCAGAACTTTGACTTGACCGAAAGTACGACCTCCAGACTTTTTCTATCCGGATTTTGACACTGGTTCTTTGCATACGAAATACCGCAAAGGATTACTTTTTAATTTTCAACATGAAATCCTCAGAGAATCAAGACCTGAGCAGTGAAAAGGGTCGCCTTCTTTCTGGTGCATCCCAATTGACAAGTGGCATCCCCAGTCTGAAGCTGGTCTCCTTAATTAGTTTTCTTACAAAGGATGCCTGAGATACCACTCCGCATTAATTTTGAACATAATTGCGGCGTATGCCGTGCGCGGGGTCCCGGCACGTGCGGTGCAGAGCGCACTCGCACGCATGCGCGCACACGTGATGCTGCACATCACCAAAAAAAAAACCGGAAAGGACAGCGTGGGGTGGCCAAATGTTCCCCTCGCTTCTAAAAATCAAACTGCAAGAGGGAAAACGATGGGGCCACATCATACCCCAAAACTGTGAGTGGATGTGTCTGCGTGTGGGTGTGTATGTCCTAATTGTGTCCAGTCTCTTTTCCAAAGGACCCCTACAGCGAATTAGCAAGGACCCATCGTGAAGCAGAGACAGACGTTAGACTTCCAGTTTTCAGGAGTGGGCCGAGAATATATAGTCTGGATTCTAATTCAGGTTTGTGTATCAGCGGTTAGGGGTCACTAATGCTCTGTTTTTTGGTTTTTCTTTTCTTAGGAATACGTTGTCGTACCAAATACCCTACAAGGATATTTGGCGTGCTTTTTACAAGTCACGTCCATTTAGGCCTTGTCCGTAGCTGACGGTGCCAGCGCAAGGAAAAGTCCTCGCCCTGATGAGCGGCACACATGGTATGATGACGGTGAAGTGCTGCGCCAAGGCCTCGCACGAGTGGTGTGAAGGTTCGGCGCCCGTGGGTTTGTCCGATGGGTTAAGGCATGGCCATAGGGTGTTTTCGTAGGCCCGCACCCGGTGCAGTAATCGGTTATATGCAAGTTTGCGCCTGCCATGCCCAGCCTTGCGCCTATCACTACTGGTTAAGGTGTCAAATTCTCATGCAACAGGTCTAGGGATCGAGGCCAGCAACCGGCACCGAAAGAGCAAAGGAGCAGCGGGAAAGAAGACAAGGGATTGAAGGCCCAGCAAGGCTGTCCCCTTTGGTTTTGTCATCGGCCCCGATTTTCGGGACCGACTGATGGGAAACAAGGGTGCTGACGGTCCTCTTCCCCTCAACATAGTTCCAAGTCGTTTCTTTTCTTTTTTTATCTTTATTTTATTTTATTTATTTTTGGGTTCCATTTTCGGACCGGCACCGGAGCCGGTACTGGATCAAAAACGCCATGCAAACAAAACACGTTATTGCTTATATTCAATCAACTTTAAGTAACACTATAATTACCATAACAGATTCTTTTGGAGATACCAAATCTTGGTCCTCTTCTGGTTCAGTGG